AGAATGCTCCCTGTTCAAGATCTAGTTAAGTATATGTACAGATTTGTCAACTAATAAAACTTGTTATTTGTAAACTTAAGTAGTATTTTATCAATCTGTTTTATTATCCATGAACACCACAAGTGACTGGCTTCTCATATAAAACATAAGTTTCAAAACTAGGGATATAACAGAAATTTATTCTGCATGCTTGAAAGACTACTCTAGCTATGTGACTTTGAACAATACTGGATGACATAAATATCAAAATGGTTTACAAATTATGTAAATACACTTAGTAGACTATGCTTCATTGGTTCCAGGTTTACACTTGTGATATCGTGAGATGTTATGTTGTGACTTTATTTTAGGCCTGTGTAAGGCGGTAATTAATTCTTCATGTTATTGTCATAAAGTGGGTAATGAGTCACAAAACAAATAATCAATACATTTCAGAGGTGGGGGCACCAAAAGTGTCACTGCCCCAAGTGCTGAGAAACCTTGCTATGCCACTGCCTTGGCTACACATAAAGCTTGCATTCAGAGTTGCAAACAATACTTTCATAACTTCAACTGCTAGCGTATTGTACCCCTGAAAACAACCACATGTAGAGCAATGTTTTCAAACTTCAGCTGTTAGCGTATTGTACTTCTGAAAACAACCAGATGTAGAACAATACTTTCAAACTTCAGCTGCTAGCGTATTGTACCCCTGAAAACAACCAGATGTAGAACAATACTTTCAAACTTCAGCTGCTAGCATATTGTACCCCTGAAAACAACCAGATGTAGAGCAATACTTTCAAACTTCAGCTGCTAGCATATTGTACCCCTGAAAACAACCAGATGTAGAACAATACTTTCAAACTTCAGCTGCTAGCATACTATGCCCCTAAAAACAACCAGATCTAGAACAATACTTTCAAACTTCAGCTGCTAGCATACTGTGCCCCTGAAAACAACCAGATCTAGAACAATACTTTCAAACTTCAGCTGCTATCATGCTGTGCCCCTAAAAACAACCAGATCTAGAACAATACTTTCAAACTTCAGCTGCTAGCATATTTTACCCCTGAAAACAAATCAGTTGCAGAACAATACTGTCTGTCTACCTTCAGCTGCTAATATCTTGTTCCCATGAAAACAAGCCAGATGCAGAAAAAACTGTAACTTTGGCTACTAGTGCCTTGTTCCCATGAGAAAAAACCAGTACTTTCTAGCTTGACAGTTTGTTAACACAAATTTCTTAGTAAAACTGTTAGGACAATAGGGTTTATATAAGTTGACTGGATACTTTATTACATGGACTTTATATACCTCTAAATTGGGTTTTTGGAAAAGTAGAAAAGTCCTTTATAATATATGTTTTTAACACGGTTTAGTAGTAATTTTCTTTTCAGGTTTTGTTTGCATACCTAAACATTATTTGGCTGTAATATTTATGAAGAATTTGATGTTTGATATTCATATATATGTGTATATATATTCTAATTGCTTAAAAAATGTACAACATGTAGTATGGAACAGAACAGACAGGCTATAAAGGTCTCACACTGAAGCATGAGATAAACAGAAGACTAAATGAAATAGTAATTTTTAGCATTTCTTCTTAAGTAATTCATCTTTTTTTTTTTTACACAGGGACTAATATTCGAATGAGGTATTCCAAAAATAGATATATTAAATATACACATTATATAAAATCAAAGTAGTTGTTGGACAGGAGGTTTTTGTAGTCATGTTTTCAAACTGAAAACTGTTGAAAAGGAGATAATCCTATTTGAATTAATCAACAACCTCATAACTCTAAATCAGATGAATTAGGGTAGAATTTCTAGTTTTTAACTTCTTTTGGTGTGTTTTTGCTTATGTGTGATTTCCTGCTCTGCTTCCAGCATTATGACTGTAGAAACCATATCAGGGTTATTCAACCTGTGGAAGGTGGAAAGCTGTACATATGTGGAACAAATGCTCACAACCCAATGGACTGGGTCATCCATGTGAGTTTTTATTATCAAATACTCAGCAGTAAAACTTTTCAAAAGGAAAGAAAACTTAAAAACGGGTGTCACTTAGCTTTAGTGTGGTTGGTTTGTCATACAAACGTCTGGGTAAAAAATAAACATTTAATTGAAAAACAAGAAGTCAGTTAAGCTATGTATTATTGTTTGTAACAGATGTGTAAAGATTTGTGTATAAAAATCAGAAGTTGTATACTAATTTATACTGGATTCATTTAAAGCATTTTTGAAGACTACTTTAAGACATCATCTATGGTCAGAGCCAAGCTGATAATTGTGAATAAATGAGAAAAAAAACTGAATATTTTATTAATATCCACTCTCTACTAATGTCATACGTAGTGTCATAGTGCCAATATTATAGAAATACTAAATACTGCAAGATCACTCCATTATGCAAACTGGATCTCTACATACATATATTTAAGTCTGTTAGCAAGAAGTATGTTAATTATATTTGATGTATTTTTTTAAATGTTCACAAGCCTTTTAATTTATATATGAATGTTGCATTAACTCGTACTCCTGTTTCCCAAAGTACTCAAGCTTTTAGGTCAATGACTTGTGCAATGAAAATCTTTTTCACAGAGATTTATATTGCTATCTTGCTTTAAATAAGTTATAAATGTTAGTTGATGATAATACTATTTCTTTGACTAAAACTACCCTATCTTTAAGAACCAAATGTTTTTTCATATAGACTTGTTATATCATAAGTTCTTGATACAATATTATACTCTACTTTAATATATATTTGTGCAGTTTACCTCATTGAACATCTCCAATACATATTGATTTCTTCTTCATATTTAATAGGAACTAAATAAACTAGTTTGGAATATTCATTATTTAATTTCTTTGTTACTTTTTTTAAAATGAACACTCAACATTTCACTTTACAGCTTCTTTAGGAGTGTTCTGATAAAACCCAAACCATAACTAACAGTACAAAGCTTTAATTTATTTAAACAATAAATTATAATTAAATATGTAGTATGCATTCATAAAACATGGGTTGACATATTACATGGTAAAACTTATTGTTGAAATAATACACTACTACCTGTATTAACAAAAGTTTTATCTAAGTTACAGATTCTGAATTAAAACGCTCCTTTTTGAAGGACTATAACATGCAAAAATTAGCATCACAGTTCCAATGTGAAAAAAACACAGTTAAACTAAGATGAAAAAGACAATTTTCTAAAGATAACACAAAAAATATTACTTTTACAGTACCTTTAATTAAAAAATCCATCACCAAGAAAATAAAATTATAAACAGAAAATCTGAACTACCAATTGAAGTTGTAGAATGGCCAGGTCCAATCCTCACTTTCAACATCTAGGTAAACTACCCTGCAATGTAATAAAGCTAACTGTCTTACAAAAACATATTTGCAGTCTAAGGATGGGTGTTTTGTCTCCAAAGTTGTTTACAGCTTACATTTAATCTCTACCATCATACGTACATTGGAGAAACTGGAAGAACTCTCTACACGAGGATAATAGAACATATAGACTCTCCTTATAAGAGACAAGATGGAAGATGGACAGTTGCAGACCATTTTTTAACTAAGAAGAAATAACACTTGACATGAATCCATCATTCTCTGTACAAATCCTTACCATAGAAACAATGGCAGGAAATTTGAAGAAGCTTTTGTCATTGAATGACTGTGACCAGGATGAATAGGGACGAAGTATGGTACCTATAATTATAATTATTTTTACATCTTAACGTTTAGTATTTAAATCTGTAATTTAGAACTTTTGTTACTACAGGTAGCAATTTATTATTTCAAAAATAAGCATTGCTACATAATATGTCAACCACATGCTGTAGAAATGCATGCTATAAGTTTGATTAGAATTTTTGATTTAAACCAATTAAAGCTGTGTACCGTTAGTTACAGTTTGTGTTTTTAGGGGAATTTCTGAAAAAGCTGTAAAGTGAAATGCTGAGTAACCAAATTGCTGGTGGATCCTCGAATATGTTGGTTACAGCCCCCCCCCCCCTAATAGCATAGGAGTCATACAAGAAATGTAAACAAAATTTCCACCAATATGACAATTATCCCAATAATTACTACTTGGGTAATTCTGTGCATTTTGATTAGCTATAAAATGGGTGTTTCACCCAGTTTGCTTTACCAGTTCTTTACAGTGCAATATGTCCACTATACCAGTAGATAATGGTATAAAACAAGCCAATAATCTAAAAGTTAAGTGATTAGAAACTTGTTATGGTACATTTGCCATATGGGTCCTGTGTGGCACAAAATTATTTTTCTCTGGAACGTCCCATTAAACAAAAAGCTAGGTATACTGCATCAATAGAACCTGGGTTTGCTTGTAGGTTGTAAGGAGTGAAAGTACATGATAAAAAACCACACTTTGCTTGCATTGTTCAAAGAACAATTAAATAATATAGTTCTAACAAAAGCAAATACCAATATCTTTATAACATGTATAAAGATGTCATCATCTTAACAGTAAGTTGCCTTTACTGCATTAGTAGAAACCCTTACCACACAGAATAACTTATGGTATTGTAATCAGAATGACAGAAAAAGATATTGTTACGACAGCGGTAGTCACGTGACTCTGGTAACATGTCATGATATATTCGAAGGATCGGGGAACATCACGAATAATCCAATATGTGCTAGACGCCCTCTATTCCTGTATATCAGTGCACCATGAGACTAATTAATCGGAATTGAATTGCAGACAGAGATAGAGACGGACAATTGAGTCAAGCGCGTAAATCATTCGTTGTGAATTATAGCGTTTGTTTAAGTTGTAGCGTGACTGTGGAAATTAAGTGTATTACAAAGTTGTATTGAGAAAGAATAAACTAGTTTTATAAGGAAGGACTTGTATTGCTAAAGTTTCTTCGGAAAGAATTTTTACGGAAAATTAACAAACGAACGACCAGAGGCGTAACAAATTGGTGTCAGAAGTGGGATGAAAAAAAAATGGAAATGAGAAGCGGCAAATCAAACTACAGCTTAGCAGATTTGATGGCAGCAATACAAGAACAGCAAAAGAAACAAGAAGAACGAGAAAAGAAACAAGATGAGAGATTACAGCAGTGGCAACTGGAACAAGAAAGGAAACAAGAAAGGAAACAAGAAGTACAAATGGAAAACATTAGTAAATTTCAAAGTGAATCAAATACATTAAAGAATGATTTACTGTCTTTTACACAAGTAGGATATATTAGCCATCGACCTAATCAGCCTCGTACAACGAGAAGCCCCTTCCAGACCCCACAGCTAAACCCTAATGCAGACATATCCAGTCCTACCAGAGTCACATTCCAGACATGAGTGCCAGCAATAGGGGTGATCTAGTACGAAGAAAGCCAAAGCAATTCGATGGGAAGGCATCATGGGGAGCATTTTGAGCATAATTTGAGCTCCTTGCAGAAATGAATGGATGGACAGAGGAGCAGAATGCAGTGTACTTGGCAACGAGCTTGAAGGGACAACCACTGGAAATACTTGGACAGTTGTCAGCAGACGACAGGCACAGCTATAGAGCACTGGTAGTGGCTTTAGAACTCTGGTATGGAACTCAAAATCAGTCCGAAGTCTATAGGACACTTTTTAGAACGAGAATCCATGCTAAAGAGGAGAGCCTGCATGAGCTGGCCCAGGAC